CCCCTGTCCGCAGCGTCACTATGTCCTCATAGGTGGCCGTCTGGTCAATGTCCAGGCCCTGGAGACATTAAGTGGAGCTCAGGCCAGGGCCACACCCCAACCACACCAGCAGATAGTGGCCGCTGACCCCGAGGACTCAGAGCTGCTGGGCCTGCCCGACTCCTTACCTCGTAGGTGTGATCTTCCTCCATGCCGGCCTTGCTGTCATCCTGGGGGCAAAGAGGGATGGAAACCAGAGTGTTAGCTTCCCCCAGCCCTATCCCCTGCTGGACCAGGCTGGGGAGGGCCAGGGAGAAGGGTAAGCGGTCAGGAGTGAGGTGCATTCTGCAAGAACAGCTGAATGAAGGAAGGAAGGAAGGAAGGAATGATTGAATAGGTGAGCCAGTGGGCCAGCTCTGGGGACAGACTGGGCCAAGATGGCCACAATGAGAGCTGGGGACATGGAGACCCTGCCTATACCTGGCCTATGCAGTGGCCTCCTCTGCGGTCCCCCAAGGCTTCCCCCACCCCCGATCACCTTGTCCAGCAGCAGGAAGATGGGCACGATGATGAAGAGGATGATCAGCAGCGTCTGGATCATGATGATGCCATCCTTCAGCGTGTTCCTCTGCTTCAGCTGTGCCAAGGTGCTGAACCCTGCGGGGACCAGGGGCGGGGTTGTGAACCTGGACCACAGTCCACCTTTTAGGCCTGCAAGGGCAGCTCCTTCAGGTCCCAGCGGCTCTCCTGAGTGCTCTAGGGCTATGGCCATCTCCACAAGAGGCAGGCCAGGCTGGGGTGGGGATGGACAGCTACAGGAGTGTCCCAGCCACCCGGCACACACCCATGACTCGCAGCTCCGTGCCGCAGCCCCGGTAGACCTCCGAGGTCTTGCTGCACTCCTGCTGACAGAAGTAGATGCCGTTGTCCTCAAACCGGATGTCTTGGATGATGAGGGTGGTGACAGAGCTGTTTTGGGTCTGATGCATGTGGCCCTGTTCCAGGTTCACCTGTTGGGGCTCCTTGTCTGTCTCCCGCTTCCGGAGCCAGCTCACGATGCTGAAGGTGCTGTTGGTCACGTAGCAGTGCATTTTCACCGTGAAGCCCCGTTTCCTGGCTACGAAACGTGGGCTCTGCCAGATCCGAGAACAAGCACTACCTGTGGGTGCCAAGGCCAGGCTCAGCATTCCGCTTGGCATCTTCCTGACTGCCAGCTCCAGCAGCAGGCCCCCGCCCTGGCTGGCACAGACTCCCTGGGCTTAGTCTTTGCTTCTCAGGGTGTGGGACAGGCAGGAGGCCGAGGTGGGAGTTAGGAAGCAGAGCCACGTGAGAAGCTGCAGCCAAGCTCTCAGACTCCGGCCCTTCCCGACTGCCCCACCTTCCCTTCGATTTTCCTTTAGAAGAGCTCTGGGACCTTGCCATTCCTTTCCATGCCCATTACAACAGCCTGACCCAGGCCACACCCCCAGGACCTGGAAGTCCACAGGCCTGAAATCCCCAGTCTCCCCCATTCCTCTGGGGATAAAGGCCAAATTCCTAGCCTGTCAACTGAGACCTTCCTCAGTCAACCCTCTCCCTGCCTGACTTCCCTCCATCATCCTTCTCTTCCCTCCTGCAGGGACTGGGACCACTTCTTGTTCCAGAACCCTCTTTTCAGCTTCGACTGCCTTGTTCTTAGCGAGCACTCTCTGAGAATCCCTGAGCCCCTCACATAGTGACCCTGCCCTGGAGGGCTCACCCGAGGCTCAGCCAGATCCCCAGCTAGACAGGCCCCGGGCCTGAGTCCTAGAGGAATCTGCAGGCTCCTCTGTTGTGACCCAGAGTTTAGCCCAGCCCTTCAGTGGCCAAGGCTGGAGAGCATGTGTCTGATGAAGATGACAGTGGGCTGGGGGTGGGGCTCAGAGGAGATCCTAAGGAGGCCTGGGGATGGGAATCCTGGATGGGGAGATCAGGCAAGGGTGGGAAGCGGGGCCACCTCCAGGACAGGGACCATAGTTGGACACAGGACATAGTCAGACACAACTTGCCCTCAGAAGCGGCAGGTGAGGCTACTGACCTTTGGGATTCGGGTACAGGTCCTCTGATTTGGCTGCTGGCACTGGCTCAGCTGCTGGGTGGGAGGAAGTGGGCGGGGCCAGGTCAGGGCCTCCTCCGGCCTGGGCTGCCCCACCCCTGCGCGCCCTCTATGTTCCCGGAGCTACTTCCTCCTTCCATGACAGCAGCTTCAAGACCCCTCGGTCCTTCCTGACCCCTGTACTTGGGAGACAGGCATGGGGTGGGGGTATTGGAAGCCCCACCCCAGCCCCCTTTCTGCCTTTGACCCTCAGGGTGGCTTTGAGCAGGCGTCTGAATAAGACAGGAAGGACAGGGAAATCTCAGCATTTTGAGAGGCCAAGACAGGAGGATCACTTGAGGCTAGGAGTTTGAGATCAGCCTGGGCAACATAGGGACACCCTGTCTCTATTTTTTTTTTTTTTTTTTTTTTTTAAAGAGAGACAGGAAGAAAGTCACAGCCCAGAGGCACTTTCATCTCCCAGAGAAGGGGACCACATTTGGATCTCGCATCTTCCAGGGTTCGGTTGGGACAGCCTCTCCCCTCCAGATCCCCAGGCAGTGCCCTCACCCTCTCTTCCTCCTGAGCCTAGTGCTTCCACCGTCCTGGCTGCTAACTCTGGTTTGCTCCTCATGCCCAGCTCAGCCTGACGCTCTCCAGGCAGGAGAGGGACTGGGGCCACAGACTCCTGAACCCATCACCACGTGCAGCTGACACCCACAGACCCAGGCTCCAGGGCCATGAGAGGGAGATAGGCGGTGAAAGGAGAGAGACAGAGGAAGAAGGTGGAGCAAGCAGGAGGCTGAACCGCAGGGCCCAGACAGCTGGAGACGAGACCAAACCCCACAGGCCTCGTCCTGGGTATTGTACCTGAGAGCAGCAGCAGCAACGCCACCAGCCAGTGGCTGGACACAGGAGACAACGCCAGCCCGGCCATGGTCACCGCTCCGTCCCCGACCCCAAACCCGTGACAACGTCCGAGGCTCCTTGGAGGAAAACGTGTAACTGCACTGGCTGTAGCCTGTCTCCTCCCCACCTCTTCCTCACCAGGCCCCTTCCTGCCATGCAAATTGGGACCCGGGGGAGGCACCAACTCTCCGGGGACCCTGGGGGAGGGCGGGCTCTTGTCAGCTGGGCCGCTAAGGTTTGGCGGTCGCCCAGCTTGGACAGCACAGCTGGGGTCCTCTGCGGATGCCTCTGGGGGCCTCTCAGTCTTCTGGGGGCAGCCTGTGCTCCCCTCTGTCTGTGCTTGCCCCACCGGTGGTCATTCTCTGGGCCAGCCAGCCTCCCTTCTGCTGTCCGCCAGCTCCCCGAAGGGCTGAGCCCGGCAAGTCTTTATTCCGGGGCCCTGAGCGAAATAGGCACCTGTCCTATGAATGAACCTGAGCTTAGCTCCTCTGCCCTGATCTATCCCTCACCTAGCGGAAAGAGGAGCACTGAGGAAGGACAGGGCAGCCACAGACCCAGGTCAGGCACCTGGAGGGGCCCAGAGCAGAGCCTCTTGGCTGGAGTGCAGGCAGCCATGTTGGAAGTTGACCCTGTGGAGGATGGGAGCCACAGAGGTTCTGGAGCAAGAGCAGGCCAAGTGTGGCAGCCACTGGGAGAAGATTCAGTCCAGGCCTTGGTGAGAGGCCTCCCTCCCTCATGCTGCAAAAGAGTCTGTAGGGGCTGCCAAAGAGGGTGGATGTAGGTGGAGACAGCTTTGCGAAAATCCACCACGCAGCCACTGGGGGCTTCTTCAGGGAGTTCTTAACTGTAGGACTCTGAGTTCGTTGAATTGTTGTCACAGGTCCAGGGGGTCTTGGGCAGGGAACGGGAACTGGTGTTGGGGAGCCCTCAGGTCCTCCAGCTATATCCTGCCTGTCTGCAGGGTGTGGTTGGAGCCACAGTGCTCAGGAACTGATAGAAGCTCACCTTTGGGTCCCTGCCCCTGGGTCCAATGCAGCCCCTTCAGAGATGCCCTTGTGCAGGGCACAACCTGAACAACTGGACACAGCATGCTTGCAGACCTCAGCCCTGCAGCTGAGCCCTCTTTGATTTTCATGTTTCCTGGCAGCTTCTTTTTTGTCTCTCATCCTCGACCCCCAGGAGAGGAAGAGATGCTAAATTGTCGGTGCCCTCTGTCCACATCTCACTCTCCTCATGACCCTCCATTTTGCAGTTTGTGCTGGGGCAAGTCTGGATTTAGGGAGAAGCAGACCCACCTCCCATGCTGTGGTTGGAAGGCAGAGGGTCTGGGTGGTCCCTCTTTAGATCTTGGCCTAGGCCTCGGACCTGACAAGGTGGGGGCCACTCTCAAGGGGTGCAGGCCAGGACCTGAGCCACGGAAATCGGGGGCAGGAGGGTTAAGGTTTCATCCGAGGAACAGCCCGTTCCGGGCAGTCCCAGATGTTCTTGCTTGTTTCCAGATGTTCCAAATGAAAAAACATTTCTCTGAAAAGGTGTCAGATGTTCACTTCATGGAATAAACAGCTCAGAAATATAAACATCACCTGAGGTCAGCTTGGGGACCATGGGCCCCCATGCCATTGAGGGTGGTTGGAGAGAGACTGACCGGGGGGAGTGAGGCAAAATCTGGGAGTCTCTTGGTTTAGGAAATACTCTTCCCGAGCCCCTGATGACAGAGTCCTTCATTAACTTTGGGGCTAGTGTCTCCCCAAAGTCAGGGGTATAACTGGGAAAGGCTTGGGGCACATGTGTTTGTGGGGTGTGTGTGTGTATGCTCACACAAGTGTGTTGCCTGGGTCCTGTGGTGTGGGGCCTACTCGGGAACTGGTCCTAGGGCCCAGGGAACTGTAGGGGGCACAGAGGTTGGTAGGGGGTAGTTGGCATCCATCCTCAGGTGACAGGTGCACTAAAATCTCAGAAATCACCACTAAATAACTTATCCAGGTAACCAAAAAAACTACCTGTACCCCAAAAATGATTGAAATAAAAAATTTTAAAAAACAAGTGAGAAGCAGCTCCGGCTCCAGGGAGGGAAGACGCACATGCATCCCGTGGACAGGGATGCAGATGTGGCCTTTGGGCTTCATTCTCATTCATGCCGGGCAGGGATCTGTTTTCAGGAGGGGCGGAGGCAGCGGGGGCCCCACCGCCTGCAGGGTTATTTGTCACATTTTGAGCCGTGCTGTTCCCTCACTGGTGACAACAGTCCTGAGCCCCATCTTGGGCTCATGATACCCTTTTCTTCCCAGAACAGGAGGCCTCGCAAGCCTACCCCCGCCTCTGCCCTCGGCTGCCCCGGGCTTCACATTCTGACATCTGACGACACCTCCCTTTCCAGGAAGGCAACATCAAAATAAGGAATGAGGGCTGGGGTCGGGGGAAGGGACAAGGGGCTCAGGGGGTGGGGAAGCAAGAAGGCAGCGATCCCCAGCCACCCTAGGATGCTGGGAGGGGGAAGAACTTCAGCGAAAGAAGAGCTCAGACCCCTGCCTCCTTCTCCAACCCAGGTGTCCTGGGTCTGCTGGGCTGCTGTGACTGGGAAGAGACCTGCTAAGAAGGATGTGGGTTTGAGTCCTGATCCAGCAGTGTGGCGGTGAGGAAACCTCCTCAGGTTACCAGTGGTTCTCAACTATGAGTGGCTCTGCCTGCCCCCACGGAGGAAGCATCTGCACATGCCTCAGGACAATCGTGCTGGTCTCAATGACCGGTGGGTGCCCAGGGGTGGGAGGAGCATTGGCTGGCAAAGCAGAGGTCCCTGCCCCACATGCCAACAGCACCCATGAGGCAACACCCATTCTTAACCTCTCAGTAGCCAAGGTTCCTCATTTTCGTAAAATAGAAATAAGCCCAAGAGTGCTTTTTTTTGCTGCTGTTTTCTGGGGTTTTTCTGAGACAAGATCTTGCTCTGTTGCCCAGGCTGGAGTGCAGTGGTGCAATCTCCATTCATGGCATCCTCCGCCTCCTGGGCTCAAGTGATCCACCCACCTCAGCCTCCCAAGTAGCTGGGACTACAGGTCATGCCACCACACCTGGCTAATCTTTGTATTTTTTGTACAGACAGGTTTTATTATGCTGCCCAGGCTGGTCTCGAACTCCTGAGCTCAAGCAATCCACCTGCCTCAGCCTCCCAAAGTGCTGGGATTATAAGCGTGAGCCACTACACCCGGCCCCAACAGTGCATTCTTCGAAGGGCAACTGTGCACATTGAAGGCCGTCCTGCGTCTGAGGTACTCGGCGAATGTGGCTGACAGCACGCCCTGAGGAGGGCGAGGAGTGGCATGGATGCCTGGCAAGGTGGGTAGCTGTGTACTGTTGTCCCATGTTGTCTCTGTTTCTCACCCAACATGAGGCCTTTTTTCTTCCACCATTCAAGGCTCAAGGGATGTGTGGGCTTGAGCACCCTGCACTCTGCAAATCTTCCTGTCCCTGATGCCAGAGAGGGCTCCAGGTGAGGCCTGGAAGAACTTAAAGTGAAAAGAATATCTCCAGTTTCATTTCTAATAGAGCTTATTTGGATCTTTTCTCTTTTCTTGGTTAATCTTGCTAATGGTCTATCAATTTTATCGTTCCAAAGAACCAGCTTTTTTTTTTTTTTTTTTTTTTTTTTTTTTTTTGAGACAGAGTCTTGCTCTGTTGCCCAGGCTGGAGTGCAGTGGCATGATCTCAGCTCACTGCAACCTCCGCCTCCCGGGTTCAAGTAATTCTTCTGCCTCGGCCTCCCAAGTAGCTGGGACTACAGGCGTGCACCACTGTACCCAGCTAATTTTTGTATTTTTAGTAGAGACAGGATTTCACCATGTTGGCCAGGATGGTCTTGAACTCCTGACCTCATGATCTGCCCGCCTTGGCCTCTCAAAAGTGCTGGGATTACAGGCATGAGCCACTGCGCCCGACCCAACTTTTTGTTTTAATTTATCGTTTGTGTTGTTTGTTTCAATTTCATTTGGTTCTGCTCTGATTTTTGTCATTTCTTCTCTTCTGCTGGGTTTGGGTTTAATTTGTTCTTGTTTCTCTGGTACCTTGAGGCATGACCTTATGTTGTCTATTTGTGCCCTTTCAGAGTTTTTGATGTAGGCATTTAATGCTATGAACTTTCCTCTTACCACCGCTTTTGCCGTATCACAGAGGTTTTGAGAAGTTGTGTCATTATTATCATTCATTTCAAAGAATTTTTAAATTTCCGTCTTGATTTCATTGGTAACCCCCAAATCATTCAAGAACAGAGAAATTTCCATATATTTGTATAATTTTGAGTGGATTTCTAGTTTTATTCCACTGTGGTTGGAGAAGATACTTGACACGATTTTGATTTTCTAAAAGATACACGCACACGCATGCTTTTAGTGCACAATTCACAATTGCGAAGATGCGGAACCAACCTGACTGCCCATCAGCTTGTGAGTGGATAAAGAAAATGTGGTATATATACACCTCTTTATGGAATATGACTTAGCCATAAAAAGGAGTGAAATAACATCTTTTTGCAACAACCTGGATGGAGCTGTAGGCCATTATTCTAAGTAAAGTAACTCAGGAATGGAAAACCAGATATCGTATGTTCTCACTTGTAAGTGGGAACTAAGCTATGAGGATGCAAAGGCACAAGAATGATATAATGGACTTTGGGAACTCAGTGGGGAACATTGAGGGAGGGGTGTGAGATAAAAGACTACATATTGGCCGGGCGCCGTGGCTCAAGCCTGTAATCCCAGCACTTTGGGAGGCCGAGACGGGCGGATCCTGAGGTCAGGAGATCGAGACCATCCTGGCTAACACGGTGAAACCCCGTCTCTACTAAAAATACAAAAAACTAGCCGGGCGTGATGGCGGGCGCCTGTAGTCCCAGCTACTGGGGAGGCTGAGGCAGGACAATGGCGTGAACCCGGGAGTCGGAGCTTGCAGTGAGCTGAGATCTGGCCACTGGCACTCCAGCCTGGGCGACAGAGCGAGACTCCATCTCAAAAAAAAAAAAAAAAAAAAAAAAGACTACATATTGGGTATAGCGTACACTGCTCAGGTGACAGGTGCACTAAAATCTCAGAAATCACCACTAATTATCCAGATAACCAAAAAATACTACCTGTTCCCCCAAAACTATTGACATAAAAAAATTTAAAAAAACAAGTGAGAAGAAGCTCCCATTCCAGGGAGGGAAGACAGCACCCTGAGGGCACTTAGACAACCCTGTAGAGACTCTCGACACCTCCCCTCCCCACTGCATGCACAGAGAGCTGCAAGGTGGAAAGTGCTGTAGAGGCAATGGAAGGACACAGTCGGGCAGCCTGAGGGCCCCTCCTCATCCCCTACACCAGTGCTATATTACCTCAGGACCCAGGAAGAGAGGGTACAGAAATCCTGAAAAGAATTAAGTGCTTACTTATCTGGAAGAATACAGCCCTGGGAGTCAGAAGTTGTTACAGAAAATAAAATTACAGGCTGGGTACAGTGGCTCATGCCTGTAATCCCAGCACCTTGGGAGACCGAGGCAGGAGGATCACTTGAGGCTAGGAGGTTGAGACAAGCCTGGGCAACATAGCAAGACCTCATCTCTGTAAAAACACATCCAGACATGGTGGCATGTGCCTGTAGTCCCAGGCTCAGTCAGGAGGCTGAGGTGGGAGGATTGCTTGAGCCCTGGAGTTCAAAGCTGCAGTGAGCCATGATTGCACCACTGCACTCCAGTTTGGGTGACAGAGTGAGACCCTATCTCAAAAAAAAAGAAAGAAAGAAAAAGAAAATTATATACAAGATTATATTTCACTCTCTGGGGGCTGTAGGCTAAACGTGCTGCATAAGATTATTCTTAGTCACAGGTCCATGTGACCCTGGGCTATCTGGGGTCAGAAGTCAGTCCTGGGGTCAGCGCCTCTGGGGAGAGCGAGAGGCTGTGCTGTGTGCCCCACAGGCACCTTGAGGCCTCTCAGAGGGGCAAAGAAATGAAGGGGCCTCCAGAGAGGAGGAGCTGGGGACACAGAGTCCCAATGTGGATCACCTGGAAGAGAGGGAGTGTGGTGCTGCCTGTTGTGGGAGCTGGGTCTTGACCCCTGATCCTATCTGGTCTCTTGGATTCCAGCTAAGCGGCTTTTGTAAGGAGGCAGGAGAGAGCTGGACTGGGCCAGAGCAGGGAGCTGGGGCCTCCTTATCCTGCCTGGCCCCCTGAGAAGCTCCGTGTCTTCCACATTTGGCTCCAATCCCCGCGGACCCTTTCTGCTTCTCACTACTCTCAGCTCCCACCCACATCCACACACTGACATGCAGAAGGGAGAAACCACACACCAGAGGCACCAGGGAGGGTTTATTGTAAGAACTGTACAAAGGAGCCCACCTGCTGGCCTGGTGTGGGACCTGTTCCCCACTGGACCGGGCAGGAATGGGCGTCTGTGTGTAGGGAAGGGGCCATAGGCAGGGAGAGGCCGGACCCGGCTCATCTACTCTTCCTCTGCAACCTGCACACAGTCCGAGGAGAATATCCAATCAAAGAGATTTCTGAGGCTCCAGGGGCTGTGCCAGCCCAGGGTCCAGGAGGGCAAGGCAGAGGGCCAGGGTGCTGGGCAGGGGAGGCTGTCCCCATTAGACGAAACTTCTGAAGGAAGAGATGGAAGGAGTGGAGGCCTCCTTCCATAGGAGAGACATAGGCGGGAGGCATGGAGCAGGGCTGAGGCCATGGGTGTGACGATGAGAAACAGGAAGGGAAGGAGAGGAGCTCACCGGGAGTGAGAGAGAGGGCTGTTCAGGCAGGACCGGGAGCAGGTGAGAGAGCATGGTGGACAATAAAGAGAACTCTGGCCCGTAGGCATGGCATGTAGATGTGCACACACACATACACACGTGTGCACACACACAAGCACACATACATGTCTTGTTTTGAAGGTTTTGCTGCTTCCTGAATTTTAATCAAACTTTTCATGAGAAACAAGAAGAAAAAGAAGAGGCACTTAGGCCAACAGAATGCCCTGAGTACACACCTTACCACACGCATTCACACTCATCCACAGGTCCACTCTCCCAGACACGGGAACACTCCCAGGGACAGGCCTGCACAGTACGACACACCAGCTGTACTCCATGGACCTTGAAACACTCCAGGGCACACTGACACACATATATACAAAGATACCCAGACACACGTGCATAATGCAGGTACCAGTACACAGTGGTTCACACACACATGTACAGTCACGCACTTGAACACACACACGGCTATACACACAGGCCTACAAGCATACAAGCAGACACACAGCCACAGGTACATACACAAGTGAATAAATCCAGTGACGCCTGAGCAGGTCTCTCACCCCTCCTCCTCTGGACACAGCCTCTGTTCTCCAGGAGCCAGCAGAGGCCTGGCCCTGCCATGCCCAGAACAGCAGTACAGAAGAAGTGCTTTTTCAGGCCACAGGAGGTTGGAAGGTTAAGCCTGAGCCAGTCGGGCCTTCCCTGCTGCACGCCCCAGGGTCAAAATATCTAACCTGAGCTAAACTGTACATTCTTAGGATCACTTTGAGGAGAGAGGTGGGGAAAATGAGGAGAGAGAATGAGACAGGCCTGGCGAGATGAGAAGGGAGATCTCTGAGGCTGGATGAGGCTCCTGGAGCCCTGGTGGTGCTCACGGAGGAGTGAGGCAGGGAGAGAGGGAAGGGGCGAGAATCTTCTTACTGAGCAGCAGGTCCCCGACCCCCGCTCAGGTCTGGATGCTCAGGCCATGTGCAGCGATCCAGCTGGCAGGACCCAGCCTGTCTCACCCGTGCTTCCTAGAAAAGGACAATTCCCAAGTGGCATCCTTCCTTCTGTTCTTCCCCTAGGGGCCAGCCAGGGGAGCTGTGGACCTGGACATGGCCTGGGAAAAGGTTTCAGGAGTCACCATCCCAGCCCAAAGCAGCAGGATCCAGTGGCCAATCAGGTTTTGAGGCTTGAGGAGCTATTTCTGAACCAGTCACATTTCCCTTTTCCAGGGAATTCCTGAGCTGGCCTGGTGGGCGAAGCTGCGCCCCAGAGTCAGAGCGGGCGGGCTGGCAGTGCCCTGGGCTTAGGTGTCTGCACTCCCTGAGGTTAAGACATCTTTGTCTGGGCTGGGGCTGAGGGGTCTGAGCCACTTCCTGGGGAGAGGCCAGTGACCCTTAAGACTCTGGTGATGGGGCAGCAACTGATCGCTCCACCGCAGGCCAGCTCCTCCCCAAGTGAGGGTCAGCAATTCCAACGTTCTGATCTCCCCCAGGCCAAAAGGAGGGGTGACAGGGCCCAGGAGGAGGTCAGAGCAACTTGAAGGTTAAATCATGGAGGCAGGGGCCTCAGGCCCAGCATGGAGCCCCTGAGTGCAACGCCCATTTCCCATGGTCTAGAGACACAGGCGCTCGGGTCTGCAGATGCAGGCGCTCGGGCCTGGGTGTCAGCCCCAGTGTGGCCAAATCCTGTCCCCCATCAGGGAGCCAGACGCAGTCCCAGAACCAAAGCCCTCCTCCCTCACTCTGTATGCAGGCACCACGGGGGAGCTCTGGGGACTGTGCCGAGACTCAGAGGGCCACCTCGATGCTGCCTGCTAGACAAGAGACTCCTTGACCCCTGGGCGCACTATATGCCCCGGGGGAGAAGTGGGAGGCTGGGCAGTGTCTGAGGGGCTGATGGGCATCAGCCCCATAGTGGGTACGGCATCCCCTGCCTCGCCCTTCTCCTCTGGGCTCTGCGAGCTGCTGTTCCCGTTCTCGTGGCCATACATCTTGCTCATGGTGTTGGCAAGCAGCCCCTCCTTCTCAGGGGCGTTGTCCCCGCTGCCGTCGTGGCTGTGGCGGTACATGTAGGATGCCTGCTTCACGGAGCGCTGTAGCAGGTGCCGGCGGTAGGCCCTCTGGATCTTGATGGCGCACACCTCCTCGTGCTTCCTCTTGAGGGTGGTGGTGATGGGCTCGTAGGACACCTTGGAGGGGTTGGCTGCCATGAACTTCTCCTCCATGGTCTGCTTGAGGGCGTCCATTTCCCCAGAGTCACCCAGGACCTCTTTGGTCAGGGCAAAGAGGATGTCCAGGCAGTGGATCTTGTCCCCTGGCACCATGGGCAGGTCCAGCGTGATGAGCTTGATCTTGTTGGGCTTGGCAATCCTCAGCGGTTCCTGCAGGGTGTCCACAAAGTCTGAGAGGCGGCTGTAGGCAATGAACTGGGTGGCATCCGGGTCGAACTTCTCCCATGTCTCGTAGAACATCTCAAAGTCATCCTCACCAAGGGGCTCACTGCTCTCCTCTGTGGCCACATTGAAGTTCTCCAGGATGATGGCGATGTACATGTTGACCACGATGAGGAAGGAGATGATGATGTAGCTGCAGAAGAAGCAGATGCCAATGGAGGGGTTGCCACAGTCACCCTTGACACTGGTGCCCGGGTTCTCCAGGTTGGGGTCACAGTCTGGGGGCCCGCTGTTGAGGATGGGGTTGAGGAGCCCATCCCAGCCAGCCGACGTGGTGATCTCAAACAGGCAGATGATGCTGTTGCCGAAGGTCTCGAAGTTGAACATATCATCGATGCCCGACTCCTTCTTGACATAGGCAAAGTTGGACATGCCAAAGATGGAGTAGATGAACATGACCAGGAAGAGGAGGAGGCCGATGTTGAAGAGGGCAGGCAGCGACATCATGAGGGCAAACAGCAGCGTCCGGATGCCCTTGGCCCCACGGATCAGTCGCAGGACACGCCCAATCCGCGCCAGGCGGATCACACGGAACAGTGTGGGTGACACGAAGTACTTCTGGATCAGGTCGGAGAGTGCAAGGCCTGCGGGGAGGAGCTAGTGAGGACGCTGCCAATGGGGAGGGGAACCGGCACAGGGTGTGGGGAGCATGCGGGGCTCAGGGGGCCCATCCTGGTGTACTCTGCTCAAGTCTCAGAACACAGCCCAGATGACTGACAGGTGAGGCTGGGCTCTCCCACGGGTCTTGGGACCAGGAGCTGCAGCTTTGTCTTAATGGAACTGGAGGTGGGATACCCTGAAGCGGGGGAGGGTAAGGTCCATTCCCAAGTCTGTTTGCAAATGCCACTGGTGTGTGTGTGTGTGTGTGTGTGTGTGTGTGTGTGTGTGTGTAAGAGACAGAGACAGAGAGACAGAGAGAGAGAGAGGGAGAGAGAACAGCTGTGTGACTCTGGGTATGCCACTTCACTTGTTTGTGCCTCAATTTCCTTACCTGTAAAATGGGAACAACAGTTCCTGATCAAGACATTGTTATGAACCACAGGTGAGATAACGCCTATCAAGCGCACAGCACAGTTGATAATAAATGGCAGCTAGTTTCTATCATAAGTACTCGCATGACCGTGCACTTCTCAGTGCACACAGACATGGAACCATCTTTTACACTTTCACTCAGTACGTAGGCACCGGAATGTACGTCTTCTGGTCAGTCCTGTGTCCGGAGGTGCATCCATGTATGCATGGGTGATGATCTGCCTGTGCACACACCAGTGTACCTTTGAGCATTGAGAGTGAATGGCTGGCACGCACAGGCATGTGTCTGGGTGAGCGTGTGATGGTGCAGGGGCAGGTGTGTGCGCGTGAGGATGGATCTTCCCGAGTGCCTCAGCTCAGTGCTGCCCTGCTGGCCCAGCCTGCCCCACTCACCCACAATGGACAGGATGACAACCACGAAGTCGAAGATGTTCCAGCCGACGGTGAAGTAGTACTGGCGCAGGGCGAGCATCTTGAGCACGCACTCCCCCGTGAAGATGATGATGAAGATCATGTTGATGTTGTACAGGATGTCCACCTTGAGCTGGCTCTGGTCGTCTGTCTCCACCATCATGGTGACCATGTTGAGGCAGATGAGGATCATGATGGTGATGTCGAAGGCCTGCTTCGTCACGAGGTCATACACCATGCCCTGGATCTTGTTCTGCAGCATGGGTGGGAGTGGACGTGGGGGAGTCGGGGTGGTCAGGCCCAGACAGGACATGGACAGGCAGGAGACATAGGATGGTACCACAGCATGACAGAGATGACAGAGACAGAGAGAGAGAGAGAGAGAGAGAGAGAGAGAGAGAGGAGGTATTGGGAGTTGTGGAGTCAGCCAGGGGAGGAAGAGGAAGGGTGACCCATCTGATCATGACAGGTCTGGGACCAGGTCATTTTACGGGGTTAATGGTCCCTCCTCCTCCCCTGGGGACCCCCTTCAAGGTCCTCCAGATGCTCCTCCCCTTTCTCTCAAAGTCATTGCTCCTGGGGAGGGTGTCTGGACATCCTCCTCCTTCCCCTTGTGGGAGCCCTTGCTCCAGGGGCCACTGGGGTCCCAGGTGGGAGGTAGATGGGCACTGAGGAGCTTCACAGGGTCAGGTGAGGGTAAAGCAGCCACTGGAGTTTCATGGACAGCCTCTGTGCATATGGTGTCTCTGTGGCACTACAAAGAGGCATCTCTCCCTGCAGGTAGACCACGTCCCCTGCCCCCGGGGTGGGCCTGACATCACCCAGGGACACAGCCTGGTGGTTGGAGGGCAGGAAATCTTTTATCCCCATCAGTCCCCTAGGCAGGAGCCTGGCACCACACACAGGACAGGGGCCCAGAGGGGAGGTACCTGGGGCCGGGGAATTGGTTTCTGAGGCTTCTTGGAGCCAAGCTTCTTCATGGCGTTATAGTATTTCTTCTGTTCCTCCGTCATAAAGATGTCTTTCCCTCCAAAGTATAGTGGGATATGGCTTGTCAGATTGGGGTGGGGTCCCCCTTCCTGCCTCCAGGACCCCCCACCTCAGGCACCACCTATAAGGCAGCCCCCACCCCTGTAGATCGGCCTGGAGGAAGGCAGAGGGTCAGAGCTGGAGGGACAAGGGGAGAATGGGGGACCGAGGAGAAGGGAGGGAAGGGGAGTGGGGATCAATGCTGTCTTGCAGTCTGTTTCTGGCTACTTTTCATCAATATCTTGCTGAGCCCTACAGTAACCCACAAGGCAGGTTGTAGCAGCCTCTTTTTTTCTTTTCTTTTTTTTTTTTTTGAGATGGAGTCTAGCTCTATCGTCCAGGCTGGAGTGCCAGTGGCGCAATCTCGGCTCACTGCAACTCCACCTCCTGGGTTTAAGCGATTCTCCTGCCTCAACCTCCTGAGTAGATGGGATTACAGGTGCCTGCCACCATGCCCAGCTAATTTCTTCTTCTTCTTTTTTTTTTTTTTTTTTTTTTGTATTTTTAGTAGAGACGGGGTTTCACCACGTTAGCCAGGCTGGTCTTGAACTCCTAACCTTGTGATCTGCCCACCTCGGCCTCCCAAAGGGCTGGGATTACAAGCGTGAGCCACTGCACCTGGCCCAGCAGTCTCATTTTACAGATAAGGAAGCCAAGGTTCACGGAGTCCAAGTCACTTGTTCAAGGCGGCCTGGTGGGACTGGGACTCAAGCTACCTTCCTGAACCAGCAACCTGGTAGGTGCTCAGGCAGCATTTGTGGGTTTGCATAGTAGAGAGTGGACAAGGGAGGGAGGAGGGAGGTCCTGCACGGGGAGGGCCCGGGGGGCTGGGCTGATACTCATCTTCTTCTTCTGCTGGTTGAAGTTGTCAATGATGACACCAATGAAGAGGTTGAGGGTGAAGAAGGAGCCGAAGATGATGAAGATGACAAAGTAGAGGTACATGTAGAGGTTCACCTCGTACTGTGGCTGCTCCTCCTTCTGTGGAAGCCACAGGGTGGGATGGCGTGGGTGTGCACGCTGGCTTCTCCCTGCCCCCCACAGCCCTGAGGGCAGGACCCATCCACCCCCAGGACTGCCGGGTCTCGGGGACAGAATGTGCTGCCGTGTCTCCCTCCTGTCTGAGTCCTCTTCCCTGGCTCACTCGCCAGCCACATCTCAGTGACCCCGACTCACCTCCCGGGAGTCCACGGCTGCATACATGATGTCCATCCAACCCTTGAAGGTGGCCTGAGAGAGTGTGGTTGGGGAGTGAGCGGGGGGGCTGCTCCCTGCTTTCATCATCCATGAGTTTCCCTCCCCAGCCCAACCTGGTCCTCCCCTGCCAGAGGCCACCTGCCAGAGCCCCACTGGGCAAGCATCAAATAAAGACCAGAGAGGTCTAGACACTGCCTGAGGGCCCCCCAGCATTGGAAGCAGGGTGGGTGGTCCCCTAACAAGGAGTGACATTGGGGTTGGGTACAATGAGAGGGACCGGGGTGGGGGGCACTTCCATCCAGGTTGCCGGCAGGGGTGGTGGGTCACACTCACCACCTGCAGGAGGGAGAGGTAGCCCAGACCCACGTTGTCGTAGTTGACCTTGACGTTGAGCCAGCGGACCTGGCCCGTGTGCATGAGGCTCTCGCACTCAGATTTGTTGTTGACCTCGGAGATGTCGAACCTCTCAGAGGTGGTGGTGTTGATGCAGTAGTAGAACTTTCCAGCAAACAGGTTGACACCCATGATGCTGAAGATCAGCCAGAAGATGAGGCAGACGAGCAGCACGTTCATGATGGAGGGGATGGCGCCCAGGAGGGCGTTCACCACCACCTGGGGGCCACGGGGTTCATTGCCAGTGCCTCTCCCAGCCTCTGAGAGAGGGCTCCCAATCTCCACGCCACCCAGGGGACCAGGCAGAGCTGGGCATTGTCGATTAGGGAGGGCTTCCTAGAGGAGGGCTGACCTGCTGGGCTGTGTGTGTGTGCAGGTTGGGGGTGGTGAGGGGGAGGGGGAGGGAGCTGCAGGCCTGGTGGTCAAGAGGGTTCTCTGCTTGGCTGGAGCCATCAGTCCGGAGTAGGGGTGCTGGGTTTCTCTGGAAGCAGCCTGGTCACGGGTCACCAGGCAGGAGACAAACACTCTTTGCTCAGCCCCCATAGGAAACTCAGCTCACGTGACCCAGCCCCTGCTCATGGGTTTTCAGCTCCAGAGCCCCAGACACAGGCACAGAAAAGAGGGCACCAGGGCCTTTGAAGCAGCAGGAACTCTGGGACAGAAGCCCCGTCCCCACCAGCCCTAGTCACGCAGCCCACTTGACCACTGCAGACTGGGCTGGATCTGAGACCCCTCTCTTTTTATGGAGGAGCCATTTCATGACCTCCAGAGTGGGTGGCACAAGCCCGGTGTGCCCAGGGGAGCTCTATTCCTGGTTGGGGCACCGACCAGCTGCGTGGCCACAGGCAGCTTGTTTCCCCTCAACGGGAGGGCTCTCTGGCTCTGGGGGTCAGAGGGCCCAGCATTCGGCTGGCCTCTTGCAGGGACAGGAAGGGGACACTTGGGTGGGCTCGCCATGGCTTCCAGATTTGCAGAAATTTGTCCCGCTGGAGCAGGTCTTGCTCCCAGCAGACCTCTCTTCCTGGGGAAGTCCCATTTTTCTTGCCCCAGCCCTGTGTTTACCTGTCACTTCCACTCTCCAGGGCCTGAGTGGATCTTCCCCAAACTGACCCCAAGCTCAAGGGCATGGCCCCAACCGTGACGCCAAGCTCATCAGTGGGGGGTGAGGGGGAAGCTCAGAGCCAGGGTGCAGGCACCTTGTTTCAAAGCCCTGGATGGCTCAGTCTGAGGCTGGGGAGGGCCACCCATAAACCCATTCATAAACCACCCATAAACACCACATAAACCTGCCTTCCTTCCTCCTCCTCCCTGGCCGTGGGGCCCTCCTGGGTGCTTCTGCAGTCTCTGCTCCCCCCAGCTAGTGGCAGAGGTAAGCTAAGGGCGGGTTGGATCAGGGGCTGAGGGCGGGAATGGGGCAGGCAGAAGATGGGCTGCGGGGAGGACAGCTAGGCGAAGTGGGGGCCAGACCTGGCCTCAGGCAGGACCGTGGCTCCAAGCTCTCTACCTCCCTCTGGCGGTGGCTGGAGTATAGACATGCACTCTCCACCCCGCACTGAAGGTGGCCGGTCCCCCATCCCCAGCCCACCCCAGAGGCCCCTTCAGCACCCACCCTCATGCCCTCGAATCGGGACAGTGCCCTCAGGGGACGTAGGGCCCGCAGTGTCCGCAGGGATTTGATGGGTCCCAACTCCGAGTAGCCCAGCCAGTTGGCCACCAAGCTGATGATGGAGACCTGCAGGGGAGGGGTAGGGGGGTCACTGTGTGCAAGGCCCCAGCCTCCCTTCAAGCCCAGGCCACGGGGGTCTTCCTGGACTCAGCTCCCGGCTGTCTCCCTCAGATTCCCTCCCGAGGGCGTGTTTCTGTCTGGTGGGAAGAGCAGCTCTGGCACCTGTCCCAGTACGTGTAGGAGCTTGGCGCCACCTCAGTGATGTCATCAACTAACTGGGGATGACTGAATAGGAAGGATGGTACCTGACTCCTTCAAGAGGCCTGTGAGCGCATCTAAGAGGCTAAGAAAATCCTCCATTCCTGGTCAGGTGTGGCAGCTCACGCCTGTAATCCCAGCACTTTGGGAGGCCAAGGTGGGAGGATTGCTTGAGCCCAGGAGTTCAAGACCAGCCTGGGCAACATAGCAAGACCTCATCTTAAAAATAAGTACATAAAATATATGAAGTAAGAAACTCCTCCACTCCTATTGGCAGGGATGGTAAGTAGCCCTCCTGCCTGCTGTCCTCCCACAAGGCCTCCTTCCCCTAGGAGAAAGGAAGGCCTCCCAGTCCCTAACCCCTCCCTGGGCAGCTGTGTCTGAGAAAGGCAGTGCTGATGGAGGGTCTGAGTCTGGGGGTGGCCTCGGGCATCTCCTGCCCTTCAGGGCCTGGGCTTCCTGAGGTCCCCGCCACATTGACAGCCTCTGGATGTAGCTACGGGGCCGGCGTGGGGGGACTCACATCCACGATGAGGAAGTCGAGCCAGCACCAGGCGTTGGTGAAGTACACCTTAAAGCCGTAGGCCACCCATTTGAGCAGCATCTCCATGATGAAGATGTAGGTGAAGACCTTGTCAGCATATTCAAGGATGGTGCGGATGACTCGCCGCTGCTCGATGTAGATGTCCTCGAAGGCCTAGGGGCACCAGCACCACGAGGGTAGCTGGGGTCCAGCAGGCTGGGGCGGCAGCCAGGTCCCCTGCCCTGCTCGATGCTGCTGGTTCCCAGGGGTCTGCCGTGGGGGCCCAGCCCAGGGGACAGACTGTCCGCATCTCCTGGACTCCCACCACCCATCGTGGGGATAAGCACATTTCCTAGTGGGGAGAATCCCTCAGCCCTCCTTCCCCAAGCCCAACAACAGCAAATTGCAATCATCTGCTGGGCAGGTCCACAGTGACACATCTTCGGTCCTGCGCCCCTCGTTCCCAGGGTTCTCCTGCCTCCTCATCAGCAGAGATTGCACAAAAGTCAGTGCCCAAGTAACAACGGAGGACCTCTGCCATGTTAAGAAAGTCAGCACATCCTGTAACCTATCCTGGAAGCACAGCGAGTTCCTTTAGGATTCTCAGGGTTTGGGACTGACCAGGGTATGGTCCTTTCTGTGTGTGGAGACGGGGAGCTCCTGGAGGACCTGCTGCGGGCCTGGCCCCTGCCCCGTGCTCCCAGGCGGTGCCTACCAGAGCCCCGCTGCTGAGCAGGATCATGAAGACAATGAAGGTCTCGAACCAATTGTGCTCGACGATCTTGAAGCAGGCCCTGCGCAGAATCCACCACTTCTTCCCGCGGCCCTGAGAGATGTCCACGTAGAGGCAGGGCCAGCGCTGCACGCAGGCTGACGGGGGGTGGGGACAAGCACCACATCATGGGCCTGAGGTTGCCTTGGGGTGCGCAGCCAGCACACTCCCACAGCGTCCCAGGATGCCTCTCTCCAGCTCCCAGACGCGGGGCCCCCACCTCCTCCCTCACCCAGCTCCATCTGGCCGACATGGGGGGCTCAGGGCCTCCCTCCACAGCCGGATCCAACATGCGACAATGGCTTGCAGAGGAAAGGCCTCCTGGCCCCCAGCCCCGGTGCTGGCGCTCTCAGCTGCCCCACTCCCCACCTCGCCCAGGCAGTCTCCACCCTGCACAGCCCAGCAAGCTCTATGGACAACGACATTTCTCCAGTGCCATGTCCTGAAGATGGAAGGGAGGATCTCAGGAGCTGACACCCGCACTCTTGCACGTTCGATCCAAGCTAGGTCTGCACCAAGGGCTCTGCATGGATCTTGCGCCACAGCTCTGGGCACGTACTGCCACCACCCCTAGACACGTGAGGCACGGGGATGACCAGGCAGCCCCAGGTTCGTGTGCTTTTGGCCCTGGTGTAGCCTGCCCCTTGCAGGGGCTGCAGGCCTGGGGGAGACACCCAGAGGAGGTGGGGGATGCCCTCACCCTCGGTGAAGCACTCCTCAGGCTGCTCCCCCTCGGGGTTCTCCTCTGCCTGCTCCTCAGGGTCCTCCTCAGGGGGCTTGTAGTCAGCTGTGCTGCAGACGGAGGAGTTCCCATCATAAAGGGGCTGCGGCGGCTTCTGCAGAGGTCACAGGGTCACGTGACATCTGGGTCCCTGAGAGACCCCCTCATTCTCCCACCAGATGGGGCAGGATGGGAGACAAGAAGGGAAGGGAAGAAGAGAGGGAGGAGCAAACTTATTCATTCATTCATTCATCCAGCCCTGGATGGTTGAGGAACCATGGGGACATAGGCGGCCCTGGTCATGCCCGCATGGCACTTACATAAGGAGTGGGACGGGGCTGATGCCTGGAAAGGAATGATGAGGGCATGAGGATGCATGTGAAGGACTCAGATGAGGGAGGAGGCAGGGACCCTGGCCCGAGTGGGGGGTCTGGGAGGCGTGGGGGGCCTGAAGGTAGCTCTGAGGGGGCAGGGGTATGAAAAGGGGTCAGGATGGAGCCAGGCTGTCACAGCCCTCAGAGCATGGGAGTGTGGTGCCCTTAGCATCTGAGCCTTCCCACCCCCAGGGTCTCTTTGGCTGAGGAATCCAGAAAGGGTGGAAAATGTTCCCCAGCCAAAGCCTCCATCCCATGCCAAGGGAACCTGATCAGTGTTGGGAGCGGGAGTGGGGGAGGCGGGTGCTCCAGCCGGGCCAGGCCTCCTCCCACCTCCTCCTGCTGGGCCAGACCAGCTTCCCGGCCCCAGCCTCCACCCCACAGGGGACCCCTTCAAGGCTGAGGGTGGGGCCTCTGAAGAGAAGGAAGAAGAGGGCAACTTGGAGGGCAGCTCTGTATCCAGAGTGGTGACCAGAAAACTGCCATGGTGGTGGCGGGGGGGGTCCTTGTTTTCAGTTGACAAAAAGGGAGACCGAGGCACAGAGTGTTAGCTCCTTATGTAAGGGCATCCACTGAGTTGCTTGCCCCGAATGTGCACCCAACTCCCTAAATCCCCCTTGGAGCTGTGCTTGCCCTCCTTGAACAAGTCCTCAGGCCCTGGCCCTGGGGAGCCTGGGACTTTGGTGCTCTCCAGCTCCCCCGCAACCTGAGTGCCTCATACCGAGGTCTGTGCCACAGTTGCCTGGGTATTTATAGCTCATAGGCACTCGGCCCCTGGTAAGCCAGCGTGCCACATATTTGGGGGGAATAAGGAGTCAAAACTTTCAGGGCAAAGTTCATTAGGCTCAGGCTGATGGTGCAGGGGTGGGCAGGGGTGCCCGTCCTAGCACCTGTACGAGTCCTTTTCCTGCCAGAGCTGGATGGTGGGGAAGGGGGCTCAAGACCCAGGTAGGGTCCCATCCTCAGCCCCAGCTGCTTGGGGTGACCACCACTGCGTTCCTTTCCCTTCCTCGCCCTCGCAGTGGAGGGGTGGGGAGGGGCATCTGAGAACAGCAGCATACCCCCGGCATGGTTGAGGGGTCAGGGCTCCTGCCTGAGGCTTCTGCCCTCCTTGTCCCCAACTCCCATTGGCCCCTGGCTCCTCTCCTGAGTCCCCTGCCTGGATCTGGCACTTTGGCCCACACTGGGAGGTTGGGAGCAGACCCAGGTGGGGTCTAAACAGAAATAGAGGGTAAGTGTGAGGACTGGGCAAGGGGCCTCAAGCCCAGAGGATAACATGTAAGAGAGGCCTCTCAGGTCCTGGTCCTGGAGCTGCAGTGCCCAGGTAAGAGCAGCATGTCCAAGGGCACCACCTGCTGGTGAGAGGGACCCAGGTGTTGTTCTGGTCCGGGCATGAACCAAGGGAATCAGGGTTTCCAGACAGACAGGGCTGATCATCAAACCACATCAATAACGATAGTGACAGCCGCCACTCACAGGGCACTGACTGCATGCTTTATATACAGCGTCTCACGTAACGCTCACAACAATGCCACTTTACACCACCCCCATTTTACAGCTGGAGAAACGGAAGCTCAGAGAGGACTTAGGACTTGCTCCAGGTCACAGGAGAATTTGAAGCTGGGTCTGTCTGAGCCCCAGCCCTGGCTCACCTTGCTATCCTCAGGCTCCGAGAAAGTGTCGGTTTCCTCCTCGGTGGGCATCTCCAGGTCGGACTCCTCAGAGGCGATGGGCACGTGTATGGTCAGGTAGGGGTTGTTGATGAAGTTAAGGTGGTCCAGCTCGATGTTGGATGGGGGATCATCAACCAGGCCCATGTGGTTCAGGATGTGACTGTCCTTCTTCAGGTCCTCCTCGGGCGGCTCCTTCTTCTCATCCATGGGGGCAGTCTCCCCGGCCTTTCCAGCCTCCCCAGCCCCGACAGGCTCCCCGAGGCTAAGCATGATGTCCTTGGGGCTCAGGATCTTGCCATGCAGCAGCCCCAGGAGGAAGGCCTTGGCAAAGCTGATGCCCAACTTGATGCGCCCGATGGCAATCTGCAGGTTGTTCATCTCACCGTCCTCATCCGAGGCTGCCAGACTGTCGGCGCTGAAGGAGCTCAGCAGCAGAGCCAGGAACAGGTTCAGGACCTGGGGCATGGAGTCAAGGGGAGCCTCACATCAGTCCCCGGGACCCAGAGGGTGCCACCTTCAGCCAGCACAGGGGTCCTCGGTCTACAGATCCAAACGACCACATGTTGGGCATTTAAAATGCCACCTAAGAGGTGCTCACAACTGCCTGTGGAGGTGATGCTTATTATCATCCCTTCTGCAGTTGGGGAAACTGAGTCTTGGGCTTCTGAGAGGACTCTGCTACCCAGGGCAGAGGCAGGGTTTAGGGAGGCCTGCTGGGGCACAGGGACTCTCTCCATGACTGTTCTTTTTTTTTTTTTTTTGAGATGGAGGAGTCTCCCTCTGTTGCCTCCAGACTCCAGGCTGGAGTGCTGTGGCGTTATCTCGGCTCACTGCAACCTCCGCCTCCCAAGTTCAAGTGCTACCATGCCTGGCTAATCTTTGTATTTTTTGTAGAGACGGGGTTTCAACATGTTGCCCAGGCTGGTCTCAAATTCCTGACCTCAGGGGATCCGCCTGCCTCAGCCTCCCAATGTGCTGGGATTAGAGGTGTCACCACCATGCCTGGCCCATGACTGTCCTTTACCTCCACTTCTGGAGGATGCAGAACAAAGAACTGGGCTCAAGTCGCCGAGCTTCCAGGACTTACTGGGAACCTTTATCTTTTGTGCCTTCTTCTCCTCCTCTGTTAAGTGGGACTATAGACCCTGCGCTCCTGGTGTGCAGAAACCTGGCCCCTGCTACTCTGGAAGGGACTTGTGACCTACTATTTACCCTCTTTTCTCCTCTTGGGGTTTCTGACTCCATCTATTGTGGTTTTTGTCCCACACCCCTAAGGAAAGAGACTTAGGAGGCTACTGCTCTTCCCCCCCAGCACCCCCACCCACTTTATTTTCCAGTGGATGGACATATCCTGAGCCCCTGTCACAGCATGAATGGCCTCAGGGAGCTCACAGCCCAGCAGAGACAGAGAGCGGATCAGACACATGCAATACTGTGGGTTTGGGTGGCAACAGAAACTGGAGTGCACAGCTTTTGGAACCATATTGCAGGGCTCTGAACCCCAGTTTATTAGGTGTGTGCTCTGAGGCAAATTGCTTCACTGCGCTGTGCCTCAGTTTCCTCATCCGTAAAAAGGAGATTATGCCAGTGTTCCTCCCATTGTTGTGAGGATTAAAAGATCAATACAAGCCCGGGCACGGCGGCTCACGCCTATAATCCCAGCACTTTGGGAGGCTGGGGCGGGCGGATCACAAGGTCACTGGATCGAGACCATCCTGGCTAACATGGTGAAACCCCATCTCTACTAAAAATATAAACAATTAGCTGGGTGTGGTGGCATGCGCCTGTAGTCCTAGTTACTTGGGAGGCTGAGTGAGGTAGGAGAGTCGCTTGAACCCAGGAGGCAGAGGTTGCAGTGAGCCGAGATCCCGCCATTGCACTCCAGACTGGGGAACAGAGTGAGACTCCGTCTCAAAACAAAACAAAACAAACAAACAAACAAACAAACAAAACCAAGAAAACCCATCAATACAGGTAGAGCACACAGTAGGCATTCAACACATGTTGGCTGTTATTATGTTTGAAATAATAGAAAGCTATACAAGGTGCTCCAGCCTGGCCAACATGGTGAAACCAGGTACTAAAACTACAAAAATTAGCTGGGTGTGGTGGCACACACCTATAATCCCAGCTACTTGGAAGGCTGAGACAGGAGAATCACTTGAACCTGGGAGGCGGAGGTTGCAGTGAGCCCAGATTGCACCACTGCACTCCAGCCTGGGTGACAGAGCGAGACCCTGCCTCAGAAAAAAAAAAAGAAAAGAAAAACAAGCAAGCAAGCTATACAAGGTGTAGGGAAGAGTGTGATGAACTCTGAGGCCAGCACAGCATTTTATAGATGAGTAAACTGAGTCCCAGAGAGGTGGCATGGCTTGCTCTAGGACCCAGAGCATAGCCAGGACTAGAACCAGGCTTCTAGTCATTGTATAACTTTAGAAGTCATCATTCACTTAGACTACAAGGTGAATGGCAGCCATGAAGGTCTTTAATGCGGTCACCCTTCCTTCTACCAGTCTGCCTGGCCCTGGGCAGTGGGAGGAAGGGGAATCCTGTCTGCAGTGAGGGTCCTGGCTCCTGTCAGCCAGAAGCATAGCCAGGTTCTTCCTTGGGAGGCCTGGGGGAGTGAGAGGGCGCGGGGAGTTGGGGAGCCTGCACTTGCGGATCCGCCACCCTTGGCCGACTCCTCGGCGGGTCTCACTCCAGGCTCTCGCCAGCCTCCTCCAAGGTCTTCTCGTCATTGCCTTCACTACATTCCGTTGATTATATTCTGTTAATCATATTAATATACTCTCTTTAAAAAATATCTGAAAACTGTCTTTGAGAGAACGTGCTGGGGGAATTTCCACGGCTCCCTTCCTCCCTGCCATGTCCCCTAGAGGCTTTTCTGCCTTTGCCCCCCACCAAAACGCATTAGTCTTTCTTCTCCCTCTCTCGGGGGGAGGGATCCAGTTGCCAGAAACACATCTGAGATGGGAATTAGCTGCTCTCTGGATCAGCAGGGTTTGCACACGGCTCCTGCCCAAGACAGAAATAGCCGCCTCAGGCAGGGGGGAAGGGAGGAGGGGAGGGGGCCGACATCAGTTTCCCTGGGGGTTCTGTGCTTTGGGTTACTGGTGACCTAGTCACTTCCTCTTCTTCTTCACAGTTACCCACAGGAAGTGACCAAGTGCCATGGGCACAGGGGATGCGGGTCCTCACACTCTCTGGCAGGGGGCCCTGGTGGCCTCTGGCAGACACCTGCTTCTCTGAAGCCTAGGGAGGTGGTGGGAGGGGACAGTGCCCAAGGAGCTGACAGTGCCACCTCCCTGGGCCGCTCCACTCCCTCTGAGCAAACTGAGAGGGCTACAAAGCTGGGTTGGGAAAGGATGTCAGTGGTGTGTGTGTGTGTGTGTGTGTGCGCGCATGTCTGTGTGATGGGGGTGACAGGCACACAGAGGCAGGGTCTGCACTGGTTCCAGACTCTGCAGCCAGACTGCGGGCTCCCGTCCCACACACGGAACAGATTCACCTCCCTGAGCCTGTTTCCTCATCTATAAAACAGATGAACCAGCGCGGCCCTCACAGGTGGGTGTGAGGATGAGGTGAAATGAATACACGTGAAGCACCCAGAATGCTAGGTAAATGCTAAATAAATGTCAGCTGTCACCATGCTTCTGCTGGTGCTGACGTTATCATTATTACGATACTGTTATTGTTGACGTTATTGTTACTGGAGTTATACGGACCCAGTTCCAGTACCAGCTCTGTTTCTCACTAGTTGTGAGGTTCTGGGCAGTGCCTCCTCGAGGGTGTGGAAATAACATTTCCTGTCTCATGGGGTGGCTGAGAGAATTAGGCACAATGCTGGTAAATCCCTTTGGCAGGGACTGACACACAGTAGGCCCCCACTGCCAATACAGGAGCATCACCCTGGTGGCAGGAACTTAAACCAGCACTGCCCTGCTGCATGCCTGTAACACCTGCACCCCCAACCCCGTGGCCAGGCCCTTTGGTAAGCACTTGTAAGCGCATGCATCACACAATCCTTGCAACCACCCAGTGAAAGAGTCATCCCCATTATCATCCCCATTTTCCAGATAGGAAAACTAAGGCCCAAAGGGTTAAATAACGGGCTCAAGGTTTCCCAGTCAGTGAGTGGCAAAGTGGGGGCTTAAAACGTTTTTGAGTTTCCGCACATAGAAACAGCAACCCCCTGAAGACTCGGTCACCCCCAAGTCCTTAGACTTACATCCACAAACTCCTACTCAGGGTCTGCTGTCCCCATCCCCAATCTTGCCCCGAAGTTGGGCCCAGGCACCTTCCCTCTCTCTTCCCACTCCCTAAGACCCTCCTTTCAGGGACAGGAGGCCTGGGTTCTCTTCTGTAGCTGCAGCATGGTCTTCTTCTGCAGCCAAGGTGACACCCCCTTCCCCCTCTGAGTGCTGCCCCCAGCCGGAGATCAGCGATATCCGAGAAGTGCTGTCCCTGCAGCTCAGGGATTCCATAGGTCTTTGGGGAACATGGGGACAGGCGTCTTCCCAGTCCCTGTTGCCCAGGGCAGCACCAGCCACTGCAGGGGGCAGCTGGGCACAGTATTGTAGGGCTCTGGCAGGAGTGACCTCCACTGCCACCCCAAGAATGGGAGGAGTCAGGGTCACCTGCAGGGTCCCTAGCCACAGAAATGCTGGCCAGCTGGACCATGGCCCTACACCCTGGCTGTCACCTCCTGGCCCCTTCCTCTGCACCAGCCCCGCATGCCAAGTCCTGAGCCACAGCAAGCAGCAGAAGAGATGCAGTTTACGCCATCTCTGCATTTTCCCAATATCTTCACCTGTTTCTTTTATGTTTTCTAGAGATAGGGTCTTGCTCTGCCCCCCAGGCTGGAGTACAGTGGTGGGATCATAGCTCACTACAGTTTTGAAGTCCAGGGTTCAAACCATCTTCCTGCCTCAGCCTCCCAAGTAGCTGGGTTTGGTGTGTGCCACCATGCCTAGCTAATTTTTTTCATTTTTCCATTTTTTGCAGAGATGAGGGTGTCTTGCTATGTTGCCCAGGCTGGTCTTGAACTCCTGGCCTCGGAAGTGCTGGGGCTATGGGCATGAGCCATCACATCCAGCCTGATTCTCTTTTTTGGAGCCTGGACCGTAGGCCCTGGAGCAGAGGAGGTCAAGAGGGTGGGAGGAGGCCAGGAGGCCCAGGTTCCCCCCAACACTGTGCCTTTGTACACACTATGGCATCATCTTTGCAGTGACCCTATGAAGTCCCTGTTGTTTTTCTTCTATCTGACAGTTAGAGAACCCAGCCC